GGGGGGGGGGGGGGGGGGGGGGGGGAAGCAGCAGGCCCGCTCAAGTCTGGGGGTGGGGTGTGCCTCTGGCCAGGCCTGGGGGCTGCCTGGGACTCGAGGGGAAGGCAGCCCCTGGACGTCTGGACACGAGCACTTCGGACAGCCTGCGCCCCCTCCCCGCAAACAGCAATTAAACTTCACAGTGAGCTTTCCAGCCTCAAACCAACACTTCCACGCCCCCGCCACCCCGCCCGCCATGCATTCCAGAACCCGTGCACCTGCAAATCGCCCCAGCTCAGGCCTGTGCCCACCATCCACCCACCCACCCACCGCGTCAGAGGCGCGCATACCCCAGGGCTCGGAGCACATCCGGGGGAGCCCAGCACCGAGGGGCCTGGCTCCAGCCCCATCCCAGCCCCCCGCTCCCTTCCTCCGGAACACACCCTGGCTGCACTTCAACAGGAGGTGAGTGGGACCTGGCCGGGGCGGGCAGGGGGACATGGTATCCAGGTGGACCCACCCCCAAGCCGTAGTGGGTTGGGGCAGGGACCCCAATCCTCCCTAATTTTTTTGCTGTTTTGGGTCTGAAAGTTTCCAAACCATACATGAAATAGATCTGAATTAAGACGAAAACAAATAAACAAACAAACATAAACCCAACGTGGCTGCGGACTGCGTGGGCTGCCCCGGGGCAGCGGCCCCACCTCACAGGATGGTGGGCGGGTGGCCGGGCGGGTGGCCAGGCTGGAGCCAGCAGGTGCCAGGGCCGGCAGCCCAGGCCCTGGGTCCCAGGTGGACCGAGGGTCCATGGAGCCGCAGGGGTCGGGCAGACCCCATGGGCGCGGGGCAGGAGAGCAGACGCAGCCCAGATCGCTTCCACCGCCCACAGTGACCAGCACAGCCCACCACTGTGCCGTCACCACCGCCCCCGCATACGCTCACACACGCTCCGCACACACACCCACACCCCACACGCACGGCGGACCCGGCGGGCCTGAGCCCCGAGTCTCAGGAAGAAGGGAGAACAAGGAGTGTGGCCCCTGGGGGCCCAGCCCTGGCCCGTGGTCCCGGAGGAGTGGGGGGGTCCCCACGGGAAAGGAACGAGGGTCCCGAGACACGTGCTCCCGCCCCACAGGCCCCTGGCTTCGCCCCAGGCAGAGGGAGCCGTGGGGGCAGGAGGCCGGGCACCAGGGTCTGGCGGCCTCTCGCCCCCTCCCCGAACAGGGGGAGGGAAAGCTACAACGTGGAGACTAACCTCTCGAATATCAAAAAGGAGCCCCGGGACCTTCCTCGCAACTAGGTCGCCAGGGGCCTAATCGTTTACAGTATAACGAATGCATTTGTTTCCTTCATGAATTTTAAATACAAGCAGAATAAAAATCACATTTTTTTCAGGCAACAGTAGCAGTTCAGTAGGTAAGTGGCTTGACCACATCTGTCTGTATTAGTAACGCATGCAAGCAGCTTCAGTACCCGCCTTGGCGCCCCGTCCGGCCTCGGGCCCCTACAAGGTCCCTGCGTACGGGCCCTCCGGTCTCCTCCCTGCGGCCGGCGTCGCGGGCCGGCTGCTGCTGGCGCTGCCCTGCTCGAAGGGCTGCGGGGGGCTCTGGCCCTCGGCAGGCAGCGGCTCAGGCGCGGCCACCTCCTGGACGACCGAGCCGGCCCCGTCGGCCTCCGAGCCGGCCTCGAAGGTGGGGTTGGCGGAGGTGCCCAGGTCGACATTCACAGCGTCAGTTCTCAGAGCCACGATGGCGGCTGCGTCGCCCCGCCGCTCGGCATAGATGCGCTGCTCAAACACCTGCGCGGTGGCGGGCGGGAACTCGGGGTCCAGGGGCGCGCTGGCGGCCGAGGAGCCCATGACCGTGCGGTACATCTCCACGCCCTCGGGCAGCATGGACTTGATCTTGGGCAGCCAGCGCTTGCGGACGCGGCGGGCATTGGTGCACATGTCCGCGGCGATCACGTTCATCTCGCTCTCCTTGAAGCTGGGGGCGAAGTTCTGACAGTACACTGCAAGGACAGGGCGTCGGGAGGTGGCGTGAGCGGCCACCCACCCGCAGGAATCCCACGATGCCGGCCCTCCGCCTCCTGAGGGGCCGTGGGACCGAGATACCCTGGACAAGCCAGGGGGCAGAGCACTCTGGGCTGGAGAGGCCGCCGCGGGGCCAGTGGGGCAGGCCGGGCACCTCCAGGGTCTCCTCCACTCTGTTCCCCTCTGGCAAGGGAGACCACAGGGCCACCGAGGCCCCTCCTGGGTCAGCCTGAAGACCAGCGGTCACCTTTCTCACTGCTGGAAGCCCCACCCTGCTCCTCTGGGACAGCCTGGGGGAACCTTCAGGGGAGGGGCAGTCAGAGCAAACAGGACCCCAGCCTGTGGCTCTAGCGGGAGCACAGAGGGCCCAGGGGGCTCTGGCTCCTCCGGACCACTGGCTGGCAGTGCGGCCTTGGGTGGGCCCCCATCTCTGGACCTCGCTTTCCCACTCTGTCCCACCCACCTTGCATCTTTGGTCAGACAAGCCTTTGAGAATCCCTGCCCTGGTGGAGTGGGAATCGGGGCAGGGCCTGGGCACCCACTCAGCTGTGAGGCTCGGGTCTCTCTGGGCCCGATCAAAGGGCTGGCATGGAGTGAGGAGGGGGCCGGCTGACACCTGTCTTCAGCCCAGTGCCCGGCCCGGAGACCCCAGCCCAGCAGTGGCATCATCACCCGCAATAAGAACGATATGCCCTCTCCCCCCTCCTCCTCTAGGAGCCTCACGACCCAGCTCTCCGAACAGCACGGAACCCAGAGGCGGGGCCCCCAGGGTGAGCCCCCTCCACTGCGAGCCCTGCTCTGGGGCAACACCAGCTGCACCCCCTCTCCGCATCTTCCCAGAGCCGCTGCCGGCACCCCACCCGTGCTTTGGGACGCGATTACTGGCTGCAAAGGCCCCTCTTTGCTCTAAAACAGAATTAGCCTCACAAGAGATTTTTTAAGCCAGAAAACTAAGACAGTGTTTCGCGTGCCGACAGCTACAGGAGGACGTGCTCTTGGCTGGCCCGTGCCGGGCACCGGTGGCTTCCTCCTCGTCTGGGGGGTGCAGGGGGGGACGGGGGCGGCGGTCTGCCACCGAGATGGACCAGACTCCGCCCCCACGGGCCCGGCAGCGGGAGGCAGAAGCGGGCCGAGCAGATGGCAAAGGCTCAAAATAACCCCAAAATGTAAATAAGCGGTTTTGTTCCAAAAGGAAAATTAGATCTATTTCACATATTAAAATAGTTTCGCAGCTGAATTCATCACGCTTGGAAACCTACCAAGAATGTTAACACCTCGAGACCGGGCCCCCGCGAGCTGCTCTTTTCTCCCCCTCGACCCTGCGGCCCGGCTTGCTCCTGGGGAGAAGCCACCTTTCCCAGGCTGACACCCGAGGGCCTGGGGGCTCCTGGAGCTCCTCGAGATGCCTCCCCACCCCCGAGACCCCAGTCCTCCTCTCACATTTCACAGCGTTCAGGACGCGGCTGTCCAGCGGCTTGCGGCTCGGGTCACTGGTGGACGAGCGGATGCCCGTGCCACAGCTGTTGGCTAGCGTGTTCCTGGAGGGAGGACAGGAAGGGGGGCAGCGTGAGGCCGCCGGCTGGAGGGGACGCACGGGAACGGGGTCCCTGCCTGCACGCCCCACCGCCCCTTAGGGGAAGGAGCCCCCCCAGTGGCGTGGAGCCGGTGTGCTTCTTCGCTTTGCGGGGACGGGGGTCCACAAGCCCTCCCCAGACCCGGGTCTGGCCGACGGCCTCGGGCTGACACCTGTGAGGTCGGGAAGGTGGGGGAGCCTGGACGCACGGCCTCATCTAGAGAAGATTCTAGAGACCGCAGGGCCCGCGGGGGACCTACCTGTCGAAGAAGGTGGCGAGGAGGCGCCGCAGCAGCACCTTGTGCTTCACCCCCGCGCACAGGTGGCAGTTCATCAGCTGGCCACGCGTGATGTAGACGCCGGAGCCTGCGGCCGCCACACACAGAAGAGAGGCCCTCAGCCCCAGACCCAGGGCCACGGGCGGCCCAGGGGCTGCTGCGGCCGGGGCGGGCGGCCCGCGGGTGAGGCAGGGTCTGGGGCAGCCCCCCTCCAGGCCTGGGACCCCACGCTCCAGGCCTTCCCCGCTGCACTGGGGCCCTGTCACCAGGAGCAGGCAGCCTTGGTCACACGCCTCAAAGGGCTGTCCCCGAACTGCCCTCCCAGCCTCGAGGGGATTGCCTGGAGCCGACCTGCGTTTGCGTTTGGGAAACACTCATCTTGCCTCTCAGTTCTCCCTGAACACGGAAGAACCGTGGGCAGTGATGGGAGCTGGAATCATGGAGGTCGGGCTGCAGCTCCCCCCTGCCCAGCACTGACCTCTCCGGGTGCCGGGACGGAAGAGCCGGCCCAGGGCGGAGACGGGACCGGTGAGCCCCGCAGCGCTCTTCACCCCGCGGTCTGGCCAGGCCGGGCCCCCGCCAGGGTTCAGGCCAACGAAGGACAGGGAGGACAGGAGCCTCGGGGAGGCCTCTGTTTACCCTGGATGCTGCCCGTGGAGAGGAGCTTCTGCAAGAGTCAGCCGTCGTGAAGAACACGGGCGCCTGCAGGGCCTCATCTGGGCCTTTGTCTACGATCTGACTTTTTACAGGGCACGTGCTGAATCTCCTCATCGGAAACATGAACATGGTTCCCTTCTGGGCGGCAGGGGGCAGGGCAGAGATGCGAGGACCCCTGTGAAAGCTGCCACTCCGGCTGCGGGGGCCCTTCCCCACCTTAACGTTTTGTTCCCCACAAGCCAGGTCTCCAGAGAAGCCCACAGGCACCGGTTAAGAAGCACGTGGCTGACTCTAGATGGAGACCACCATTGGGCGTCTCCGGCCACGACACACCCAGGGTCCCGCAGGGCCTCACCCCACCCCAGGTCTGCAGAGCCTCAAACCCAAGGGCAGGGCAGGTCACCCTGAGCCACACGGGCCGGACGGCCCCCTCGCGGTGGGGAGATCTGTAAAGGGGGGCTTAGCAGGAGGCCTGGGGCCAGGTGGGGCCTGGCGAGGGAAGGCCGCCGGCCTGTGCTCTTCCCAACCCCAAACTGATAGACAGGCCTCCCTGGGGACCACACCCATCCCCAGGGCCCCGAGAACCCGGCGTAGCCTGACGCTGGCGCTCCCTGAACAGAGAAGCTGGGTGCTGCTTGGAACAACGCCAGGCAGCAGGGGCGGGGGGGCTCGGGCATGGCCGGGGGCATCCCCACCCCACCCAGGTCCACCCAGACCAGCCAACGCCGCCCAGCTGCCCTCCTGTCGGCTGAAAGGCGAGGCCGCCTGCTGAGGCGTGGTTCCAGAAGGGGGGACGGCTCAGGCAGAAGGAACCCCATAACGTTGCCCAGGCGCGGCAGGCGGGTGCCGGTCAGGAGTGATGGCCCAGCAGCTCACGGAGGAAGAGGCAAGGCCCCATCAATTCTCATCTTCCCGCCAGACAGCCTTAAAAGTCTACAAGGAGGGACTTCCCTGGCGGTCCAGCGGTTAGGGCTCTGCGCTCTCACTGCCGAGGGCCCGGGTTCAATCCCTGGTCGGGGAACTAAGATCCCACACTCCTCACAGCACGGACCAAAAAAAAATCTACAAGGAGCTGCGAGGCCGAATGAATCCCAACACTGAGAAGATAAATATTTCCAACAGGCACGAGCCCTAAGGGGCTTTGGACCCCACTGTGTTGTTTGTTTTTACAGAAGAAACAAGTCCATTGCTGCCTGGGAGCTGCCCTTTGGAAGCTCTGGTCACTCACCCCTCGAAGGAGGCAATTGGACACTTGGGGAGCTGGGGGTGGGGTGGGGGGGACTTGGTTTTATCCCCGACCTAAATTAAAACACAATCATGATTGCAGTCCCTGCCAATCAGAAGCCCGACCAGCCCAGGGGATTCAATTAAAATGCTAAATTAATTCAATTGAATAACTCCTCTTAATGACACATTCTTCTAAAAGGAAATTAGAGGAAATTTAAGATGTTCTTTTTTTTTTGACTGACTGGTGATGAGTCCATTGTTCACAGCTCGGAAGAAAAAATAAACGGCAGGGCAGCTGCATACAATAGACAGGGTGGGGGTGAGGCCTCACCTGCCACCAGCTCCAGCTTCTCGCCCGGGTCCCCCTCGGAGTAGAGCTTGGGGTGGCAGCGGTACCCGATCTGGCTGATGAGGCTGGCGGGCAGGGCCACCAGGTCGCGGCGGATGAGGACGCAGGAACGGCTCTCCAGTGGCACGGGCTCCGGCTTCTCTTGCACTGTGGGCCCAGAGGCCACCCAGTCAGGGACACAGCAGAGCTCCCCTCCTGCCCACCCAGGCCCGGACCAGGCCTGCCGCATGCCCACCCTCCCCGCCCAGCAGGTGCTGCCCCTGCCGGGAGGACCCGAGTGACCCAGAGAGCAGAGAAGGCAGGCGAGGGACTCCCAGCCGGCCTGGGAACAAGTCGCCGGGGGCCTGGGAGGCTCCCAGGGTGGGGATGTCCAGCAGGCTGAGGCCTGCAGGGAAAGCGGGAATGAGGGCTCAGGGCTGGGGGTGGGGGCAGGGCGGAGGTTGGGCAGAGCGGGGGAGGGGAACAGCTCTGTACGGTCAACCGCTCCCCAGCCTGTCTCCTCACAGCAGCCCCCCTGCACGTGGGCACCCCGCCCCCAGAGGCTGCACCACGCATTCCTGGCCAAGAGCAGCGCCATCAGTGTTCGCCACCAGTAAAGCCAGGCGGTGGCGGCCGGGCAGCGCCGGCTCCGGGCCTCCGGGCCGTCTGGGGAGGTTCCTGACGAACCACTACTGGGGGTCATCCAGGGACCCCCAGGCGCGCCAGCACCTGCAGCTATAATGGGGCGGGAGGGCGGGGAGCGGGGGAGGCCCCCTCGGAGTCCCCGTGTCACACCCTGAGCCCGAGCACCACGCACGGGACACCCAGCAGAGCATGGCCTCGGCCCGTCCCCCCGCCCGGCCTCCTAACCACCCACCTACCCACGGGCCCTCTGCAGGGGCTCAAGGCTGGGCTGGGGGTTCCCTCTCGGGCTCATGGGGAGGGGGGGCAGTCTATCGGGCACTTGCTGGGCACCCAGCACATCCAGGTGCCTCCCCAGGCGCTGGGAGGCCGAGGGCCTGCCCCCTGCTTGCAGGGAGTGCCCAGCCCTGAGGGTTCAGCAGGTGGCCAGGCCGGGTGAGGGCAGCGGCCGCGTAGAGGCCCCCATGGTGGGCAGGACCCCACCTCACCAGGCTCGGCGCCCCAAGACCCTACAAGCAGGCCCCCACGTCCTGCCCTGCGCCTGCCCCCCGTCCCCTCCTCATTTTCCTGCCCGGCGCCAGCAGCCCAGGCAGCATCACATGCCCGGCCCCCAATGCACGGTCAGCTGGAGGCCTGTACCCGGCCGGGCTGTACCGCAGGCCGGCCTCCCCGTTCAGGCTCACACACGGCCACCCGTCCAGCACTCCTCACCCTGCGGCCCGCACTCGAGCCATCCTGGCCAGACACAGGGCAGGGGCACGGCCTCCCTCCTGTGTCCCCAGCACATGGCGATCCTGGGTCACTCCTGGGAGGGCCACCTGCTCCCGGCAGCTGTCGTCGTTGAGAAATCACAGCTGCTCCAGGGCGGGCCCACGCCACACACCTGGCTGAGCAGCAAGGCCTGCAGGTGAAGGCCCCAGGGCCCGTCCCCCGGGCACCCGCCCGTCACGCGGGCACCCAGGCAGGGTCTGCAGGTGGGAAAGGCTCCGGGCTGCTCTGATGGCCACCCGGGGCTGGGTTTTCCTTGCTGAGGACAGCGGCTCTCATTAGCAGCCTCAGTGACCGCTGTGGGGGAGAGGGTGGCTTGCAAAACCTCCCAGGGCTCAGACACCCAGAGGGCAAGGCTGGGCTGGAAGCCCTCCTCCAGCAGCCTCAGGGCAGGGGCTGAGTGGCAGAGCCTGTGGCGGAGGTCCCGAGGCCACTCCAAGATGGTCAGAGGCAGCCCCTTGGGCTGGCCGGTGTCCCATCCCCTCTGCACTGTGACACCCCTTTGGGGTCACAGGGAAATTCAGCAGAGGCACCTAAGTCTGGGGGAGGCCAGGTGGGGCTGGGAGAAGGACCTGGAAGCCCTTCAGGAGGGGGAGGTTGGCAAGGAAGGGTGCCCAAGCCCCAGACCTGACACCGTGTGAGCATGGATTAGCCCCTAGTTATCTCTGCACCAAGCTCTTGTGGGGGAAAGGTCAGGGCTGCCCAGTCCCTGAAGGGCCAGCACCCCCCAAACCACAGGGCGAGTCCCACGGGAGAAGGCAGGATGGTCAGCTCCAGCCCCGAGGATGGGTTGGGGACCCACCTGTTGCTCTAGCCCACCCGGCCTGGGTCTGGAATCACCCGCTCCGGAGTCAGCCCCAGTCCCCACCAGGGGACCCCCAGGCCACCCCTCCCCCTGTCCCCTCGGGGCTCAGCCGGTCCTAGGGAGGCACCTGTCAGCATGCACAGGGTGAGGGTGGCACGCGGTGCCTTCGGCCTGGCGGCGGCCAGTTCCAGTTCAAAGGAGGGAGTTTTCCTGAATCAGCCCAGCCCTGGGCGAGGCTGCAGCACAGCTCAGGGCAGAAGTCCGAAGGGTGGCCGCTCGGGGGGTTCCGGCAGCATTTCCCACCTGGCATGTTTGGGGAACGCTGACAGTGGGTGGGGGCAGATCAGCAGAGAGCCGCCAGAACCTTCCAAACCCGGAATTACCCAGGGGCTCAGGGAGCACAGGAAAAACAACCCGGATGGTATTTTAAAACATAATTACCCGCCCCCCCCCTCCCCCTCCCCCTCCCCCTCCGCCAAGTCTGCTGTGATTACACTGGCAGACGACTCGGGAGCAGGGCGCCGGCGCTGGCGCCGTGGCATTTACATAAAGAGCGCTCACCAGCAGACATAATCCCCACGTACAACTCCTCGGCCTCGATGTTCCTCCAAACAGCAGAAGTTGTCTGTGCTCCACACGGCACCCGCCCCCCCAGCCCCAGCACGGCTCCCCTAGCGCCAGAGGCTGTCAGATCCAGAAGAGCCAAAAGAACCACTTCTATTTCTGCTCCGCCATGTGCCGGATACTCTGCACCCGCTAAAAATACCAGCAGAGCGGCGGCTCATCTGGAAAGGTGCTCCGAGCTGCTTCGCGTGCCCCCGGCCCTCCCCGCCCCGAATTACCCCCCACGGCCCGGCCCGAGCTTCCAGCGGCCTCCTTCTAGGGAGGGGTGCTGAGTTACGAACAGGTTCTGGAAACCCAGGAGAGTCTGTGCACCATAGTGACGGGGCCGCTCCAGTCTCCCCGGCGGCCTCTGGCGGGGTCACTCCAGTGCCTGACGGCAAGGGTGATGGGAGACCCCTCGGGGGGCTGTGGGCAGGGGTGTGGCAGCCTGCAGAGACCCCTCGGATCACACCCAGGTCTCCCTGCGCACGGGGGGCCCGGCGGCCGCCTGCGTCGTCAACGGCCCCGCTTATAACCCTTTATAACGTTGGTTTCTAGGATCGTGCGCTCCAAATACTTAGGCCCCGTGAAATGTGGAGAGAAGCGCGTGAAAGCAGTTAGCTGTTTGTATCGGGGGGCGAGCAATCCCTCTGTGTGTAGGGAAGGTGAGTCACGGTGGTAAAGGTCCCGATGGAACCATCTGGAACAGCAGCTAATCTGGGCAAATGGGCAGCAGGGACAGAGGCAGGCAGAAGCTTCCCTCAGACCACAAGGGCCAAAGAAGACACCAGTGTGTTCAGAGGGTGCATGGTGGGCCCTGCAGGGTCTCCAACTAGAGAGGAAGAGGGGTCCAGGCTGGGCCTTCAAGGTCCTGCTGCCCCCACCACGACACCTGCCTGAACCCAAACAGGGGAGACATCACACAAGGGAGGTGAGCCCGACACGGACGGACACAGCCTGCAGGACCCACTCGTGTGAGGTCCCTGAAGGAGTCAAACCCACGGAGGCAGGAAGTGGACGGTGGGGCCTGGGGCTGGGGTGGGGGGAGGGGAGCAAGTGTCGAGTGGGGACAGTTTGGAAGATGAGAGAGTTCTGGAGGTGATGGCGGCACAGTGTGCACGTACCTGATTCTGTGCACTCAGAAGTGGTCTTAACAGTAAATCTTATATCAGCTACACTCTACCACAATAAAAAAAATTGTTCTTTAGAAGAATGAATGGGGGACTTCCCTGGTGGCGCAGTGGTTAAGAATCCACCTGCCAACGCAGGGGACACAGGTTCGAGCCCTGGTCCGGGAAGATCCCACATGCCGTGGAACAACTAAGCCTGTGAGCCACAAGTGCTGAGCCCGCGTGCCACAACTACTGAAGCCCATGCGCCTAGAGCCCGTGCTCTGCAACAAGAGAATCCACTGCAATGAGAAGCCCGCGCACTGCAACAAAGAGTAGCCCCCTCTCGCCGCAACTAGAGAAAGCCCGCGTGCAGCAACGAAGACCTAGCGCAGCCAAAAAAAAAAATGAATGGAAGGAGAGAAACTGGGAGGGTCACGTTGACCTCAGTCCTGAACTTCCTCAACCTCCTGAGGGTCAAAGACTGGGAATCTGAAGAAATCACTGGACCCTCTCCTTGGGCAACACACACCAAGACACCCGACCACAGGATGCTGTCATGTCCAGGAAGCCCCAAAGGGCCCCTGTTCCCGTCCCCAAATCCACAGTGTGTCCTAGGGAGTCACCATAAGCAGCCCCCGCCCCCGGGAGCCCCGGCAAGGTGGGTGACCACCGGCAGGTGCCCGAGCCGCCCTGGTCCAGCCGCAGTGTAGCTTTGCTGAGGTTGGGTGGGGCGGACAGGGGACAGAAAAGGTGATGCCCACTCCACGGAAGTGTATGCCATTGGTTCAGATGGCAGCATAAGAAACCGAACCCCTAGTTCTTAATTATATAGAAAAATACAACTGAAAACCAAATGGAAAGAAAAATGCTGCACCACACCACCCGACACTGGCTCCCCACAGTGCACAGTGACCAGGCCTGCCAGACACACAGTGCATGGCCCGGAGACAGACCCACACAGGTACGCTTGGCCGGTCTGTGATAAAGAGGCACACATACCCAAAGAAGGAGGTGACAGTCTGCCAACAAACGGTGCCAAGTCACAGGTCACACACAGGCACAGACCCACGCGCCGGACCTCACACCTTACGCAAAGATGAACACAAGTGGGTCGCAGATCTAAACGTAAAACGCAAAACTACAAAACTCTCACCAGAAAATCTGTGATCTTGGCTTCAGCTAAAAGCCTAGACATGACTCCACAAGCACAATCCCTAAAAGAAATTAAATGAGAAACT